GCCCACTCCCATTTTAATAACATCAGGTCATTTACCTCACGTCTTTCTATATCTTGAAAGAAAAAGAAACTCCCCCCCCCCAAAAAAAATTAATATCTGATAAGTGAAAGCATTAGAATTTGAGACAGACTCACCAAAAATATAGAAGATAAAAGGCCAGCCCAAGGCCTGGCTAATTAGTCCCCCCACACAGAGGATGATGAAGGATCCAAATGATACCCCTGAGAAGAAGGGAGAGGGGAAAAAAGCATGCCAACATCAAGCCTGAGACAGAGTGAACATTGTCCCAACAGTGACGTTGTACACTTACAATGACCAAGTGGTTAGAGATGTTCTTCATGCTCCCTAATATGCCCCAGTGAAGTCCTATCGAGTCATTAGAAATAATAACTAATATCCCTCAACTCTTCAATGGCTCCCCACACCAATGTGACCACATTCAAATCCTTTAGTTTGCCATGCATTACCGAGTAGAATGGCTCCTCAGGGTTTGCTGGACTGTAATCTTTATGGAAACAGAGCAGCAGGCCTTCTTCCACCGGACTTCTGAGCAGCTTAGTAGTCAAAAGCAAGGCATTTGCATTTCTATCTCCTCAACAACAGCCCTGATCATTAGAATTCCCTTATGATTAGAATGACTTTCAGGCAGAATGTAGTATGAGTTTAGGGGAAAGCAAGGAAAAGCCAAACATCCACCCAAATTCACATATAGAGGGTCAAGTCTGACTCCTAACCACCCGATAGGACGAGGTGGAACTGTCCCTGTAAGTCTGAGACTGCAACTCCTTACAGGAGTAGAGAGTCTTGTCTTTCTCCCATGGAATTCAGCTGGTGGTTTCAATGCTGACCTTGTGGTTAGCCGCTCAGCATGTAATTGCTGCACCCCCAGGGGTCCTTGGACCTCACAGAAATTAATACAAGACAATCACAGCCACCAAGAAGCTGTCATTTCCGTTGGAGAGGAAAGTGTGACTGAATTCGTTCTTACAAATATAACACAATGTAGACGTCGAATTTTGAGTGCATTCTACAGAAACACACAATAAGAAATGTATTTTGCATGGCAACATGACACACAAATGCGCACAAACATGTGTACATACAACCACACATATGTACCCATGCTTCACACAAAAAACCCGTGTATAGGACATGGAATGAGAAATCTTGATGAAGCCTTAGCTCTGTTCTTCAAGTAGGCACGCTCAGGGCCACCAAATGGTAAAGTTGTGGAGTCCTGAATATCATCACAGACGGTGGAAAAGCATCCAGTATGGTAATGGCGAGTATATCCCCAAGGGCCAAACTTCCTGTTTCAAATATTAGGCTTACCGACTATTGTCTATGTGAAGTTGGGCAATTTACTTCATCGCTACATACGTTACTTTCCTCCTCTGAAAAATGAGATTTGTTTACAAGTACTGACAACAGTAGCTTGTTGTGAAGATTGCTTCAAATGATAAACAGGTCAGAACAGCAGAAAGTTCAGAACAAAACTGATTTTCTTTCTTTCTTTCTTTTTTTTTCAAATCTGATTTTTCAAAATCTATTTTCCCACCTGATTTCTTCCCTTACTACTTGAATTCGAATAATCTGAATTCTCACCTCCATGTCCTTGCTAAAACGAGGTTCACACAGTTTGCTTAACCTTTAACCATTTGTGCAGATTCTTAAAGTTCTAAACTGTTTCTTTTTTTTTAACATTTTATTAGGGGCTCATACAACTGTTATCCCAATCCATACACACATCAATTGTGTAAAGCGCATTTGTACAT